TTTTTTTGGTTGAAAAATTGTAAAATAATGATAAAAATGCCACATCATAAATAAAAAATTATTTTAGTTTACACGTCATTTAAAAAAATATATAAGGATTGATATTGTGGCAATTTAATATGCCACCTATCATTTAACTAACGGAAGCACTGTTTTGGTGTCAAAAATGAAAGTTTAAGGATAATTTTAGTACTTTTTAAAGTTTAAGGATAATTTTGATACCAAAGTAAAAAGTTGAGGGACCAAAATGATACTTAAACCTAATATAGCCAAACCCCTATTTGTACCTTAGATATTTTTTTATTCCACGGCTAATATTTTAAATTAATTTTCTTTTGCTCAACACCCTATATAATATGAACCTACAAAAAACCTAAAAGTTAAAAGTCAAACCCTCTATTTGTATAAAAAATTAATGGTCAAACCTTAATTTTGTTGGTAATTTAGGGGTTTTTTGTGAATTTCAAATTATAAAATATGTTAATTAGGAGGAAAATTAGTTTAAAATGCTAATTGTGGAAGTGGAAAGAAAAAATATCTAAAAGCAAGTAGGTTCTTTGGCCTAGTAATATTATGTTTAGGTTAAAAGGTATAAAAAAAAAAGAAATGGGAAACTATTTTACTTAATTGAAGTAAAAAATAAAATAAAAGACTCCGCTCCTCTCCCTCCCTTCAAATTTTTTACTAATCAATAGAGAAATTTTTCCTTTCTTTCCAACCAAATACATTGTTAGGTTATTTTTGTTGTGAGAGAAACAAAGGGGAGGAAATGAAATATATTGTATCTTTTTATTTTTTTTTATTTTTCTTCCCTCTCATTCTCTCATTTGAATAAGTGAAATTTTTTTTAAAAAAATAAAATAAAAGACTTATTCCTTCCCCTCCCCTTCTCTCATATTTTTTGGTAATCAATTAGAATAATTTTTTCCTTTTCCTTCCCTCAAACTAAACATATCCTTAACCCAATTTTCACTTGACCAATTTGATGTTTTTCTAGGAAAATCTTGATTTTTCTAAAAATGTTTATTTTTCATGAATTTTAAGTTTTAAATAAAAAAAATGAAAAATCTGAAAAAAAATTTTTTTTTTTTGAGCCTTAACGTGATGTGGGAAATTAATCTGAAAAATCTATTAAAGAAAAATCGAGATTTAATTGAATTACCGACATCTTATACTTAATTGAAAATATTTAAAATACTGATTTTGATGTGCAGGAACTTAAAAGTGACTCAGGTTAAATCTGTGGAACAAAGTGGCATGCAGGAGCAACTTACAGACTGAAAGCAAATTTGCCCAAAATGACGTTGTTTTAAGCCCGAAGTGGAAAAAAAATCAGAAAAATGGAAAAGGGGCTTGGGGTTTAGGTCTTTGGTTTTTCTGGGTGATGAGTTGAATTTTATACATAGTAATATAAAACTTTTACTATTATTAATATTTAAATGAATTTGTTGTGATTTTATTTGATTTTACATCATTTTTATTTCTTTTGCAAAAAAAAAAAAAAAAAGACTTGAAAAAAATCGGAATAGTTAGAACCAAACCAAAGAAGTATCAGAGTGTCAATTGATTAGATAAGGGGCCAAAAAAGTTTTACCAATGAAGCACCAAAATTGCATTTTGGTCCGAAACCTCCGGCACGGACTCTTTCTTCACCGTTACAGTGAAGGTATCTGCACTTCCTTAGAGTGTCGACACCTCGGACGATTCTCAACATATTTATTCATCCTTATTACTTTGGTGTGAGTCCCATGGTATGGGTATTATGCCTACTCTAATTAGTTTTTTGTAACTCTTATAAATACCCGTTTATTATCAGTTCCAAGAGGCCTGTGGCAGTCTTTTTAGGTACTCTTGGAGATAAGGAATTTATTAATGATAAAAATTTAAAGATTTTAATTTTTTTAAATTAAATTTTGTTTTTAAATTATTTTTATTTATTATTTGATATTTTTATATTCATAATTATGATTTTATTATTTTTATTATGAACTAATATAACTTGTTAAGGTTATGACATAAAATTTAATCAATTTAATATAAATTTTATATTTTTATATTTTTAATTAAAGTTGTTAATATAATGAATTTTGATTGTTAAACTTAATGTTTGAAAAACTTGATCGTATTTTGATTATTTAATGCTTGACAAACTTGATCATATTTTGATTATTACATGATTTATACATGAAATTAAAAAAGAATTGCATGAATTAGATTATTAATAATATAAACTAACTGTTTATTAAATTATAAGATTGAAATATAATTAATATCATATGTGGTGGTGGAAATTAAAGAAAAATGTGATAATGGAGAAATAAAAGAGAGTTAGGAGCTCATATTTTTAAGTTAGAAGTTTCTAATCACCTAATACTCACTAATTTGCTTTAAATTAAACTTGACTTGGAAAACTTACTTAGCTAGATTTAGGAAACTCATCATCACATGCAATAATAATCAATAAATTGATATTGCAAGCATAATAATCTAGAATTTATATATATTGATTGATATTAAAAGCACATAATAATCTAGATTTTATAATGATTTATTGTGGAAGTTATAATAAATCTTAATTATTTCTAATGCAAAATAAATGACTATGATTTTGTGTAAAACTTGTACCTAAGTCTTGTGTGTATAAGACTTCTCTGGGAATGCTGAACTCTGAATTTTTGGTTACTTTTAAGGAGATAGATTAATTAGTTGATCAGTTGAAAGTGGATAAAAACTTCAGCAGGCTTTGAGTGAGAAGAATGATATGCCAGATAATTGGTTGGGTTTGGTTTGGATAGTTTTTGTTGCTTTGTTTCTGCCTTGCAGTTCAAGTGTTCGATCTTTTGTCTAAGGGAGAAGGGCTTCTGTTAGCTTGGTAGGGTCTTTTCTTCTTGGTTCTTTATGTCTAAACGAAGTTATGTAACCGAAAAGGTCTTAACTAGCATTATTGTGTTCTTGCTTTGTTGATTAGTGTTTTCCCTCATGCTATATATCAGTCTCTACTGTATCATTCATTATCTGCACTACTACAGCTGCATACAGATGCAAGAATCAAACAGGATACCCAGTTCCTACTACCGACCAGGAATAGTGTATTGTAGCCTTTCTATCACCTCGAAATCTCCTTCAAGATGTAGGAGGGGAACCTCCTTCCAAGCTATTTTGAAATGTAAGAATAAAAGCATGAAGTAACTCAAAAGGTTAGATTAACTAGTAAGCAAATGTCATCTTGTAGTCTAGGTCAAGAGTTTAAGTTTTGAGACTAGTACTTAAGGAAATTAATTTTCTTAAATGCATTAGTAGAGGAATCAGCCTCAAGATGTACGAAAGCTAGTCTGTATACATCCTGATCATAGACACAAATAAAAAATAAAAAATAAATAAAAGCATGAAGTCAGAAGATTAGTTTTCAAAGGAAAGTTTTTCAGTCCAGAGTACAATTAATACTTGAATTTCAGTACTTTTAAGTCATGATCTCTCATTTCCAAATTAAAACATGATGCATGTCTGTGGTACTATTTGGTAACCAGCCTGGCTCTTGCATGGCCTTGAGATATCTGGAACTGCTCAGTGAGGCCAAAATGAGCCATAAGAAGCCACACATGAGTCAGAAGTTCCCCGCCTTTTCCCAGCTGCCGAGCATGATCATTCCCACTACAATGACAAGCGGCATAAGCTAGCAGCTCCAACCACATATCTTTTATTAGATTCCATTTGAACGCTTGATCTGAACCTGATATAGTACCCAGCGTCCGTGCTAGCCTGCAAGCATCAAACAACACAGATTTGCTTCTATCGCCTTTGACTTTGATGGGAGGAACATCTGTTCTCACTTCAAGCAATGACTTGCAAGCCTTTTTTCTTCTTTCTTCAACGTCTACAACACTGGAACTGGAACAAGTAGGCAGGAACGGAGCCAGGAAATTAGGTTGAGGGAGAAAACTCTGAAGTCACAAAATTTACAGATTTTTAAAAACTTAAAATCAACTTATTAATAGTGGTTATCTTTATATTTGTATACCAAATTTACTCATAATTTCTCACCTATGTAGAATTCGAGATATTACAATACCAATAGTGGAAATGCTTAAAAAAGTTTATTTCTAAACTTCTTTAGAAATCAGAATCATCTAAAATGCATTATATAAAGAAAATTAAACATGGTGACTATACATTTTCCATGAAGAGAACGGAGATCCCAAGACACTAGACTCCCCATATGCAAGTGAATGGGTGAGAACATATCTACTCAGAACAAAAATTTTTAAGTTTCTTGGGGAACATTAATTGCCTGAAACACTGCTGTTCATACCCAACCTCTAGACTTATTAACAGATGGACTAGTAGGTTTGTTGCCAGAAACCTTTGGGACAAAGGATAAAGCAAAATGAAGGTTAGGATTGAAAATATCTCATGTTAGAAAGATTGAAGACCTACAAAGGAATTTACCCTTTTTTTCCCAAAAGTTTAAGGAGGGCACGTACGGTGCCTCGATCCCTGCTGGTCCTGCCTTCATCCCAACTAGTGGACATTCGCTCATTGAAAAATTCCATGGCCTCAGCACAAGTGTCTCGGAACCTGATAAACCCAATCCCTGCCGGCAACATGAAGGGACAAATGACTAAGAGATACAACATGTACCTTGACATGTGCAGACTGAAATTTCCACTTAATTTGACATCATCAGAAAGGTTTTCTGAGTAGTAGCAGATTTCTGTAGCCATGTGCCAGATAAGGATGCTTTGGTCAAATTCAACACTTACACTCCATTCAAGGATACCCCATTCAAGAGCAACCTTATTTTTCTGCTTCTGATATTTCTCAATTATGCCTTTGCCCCTTTGGCTGCATAACTCCCTAATAACTGTATCGAGTGTGCTCGTGCTTCTCGGCTCTAGCTTTGCATTTTTTTCCAACTTATCAAACTTATCAAACTTATCTTTGACATGGTCAAAGATCAGCTTTCTGTATTCTTCAGTGAACTTTTTGTATTTTTTATAACAAAATTCTTCAGTTATCCGAATGCTATGTTTTTCCTTAAGGCTAAGCCGTAATAGACTGTATTGTGCCATGGAATTTGACCACCTCTTATCCGTAAACCAACTCTTCACCTTAAACCACTTGAACCATTCTTTAAAACGACTGTTTGATGGTTGTGCAGTGCTCTTCCTACGCTTAATCCACCAAGTTCTGGTTTCATCCGAGAAAAGGACAACAAGAGCTGCATATATCTCTAGCAAAACAGCTACAACAAGCAAAAGTGAAGTGACCACAAAATCAATCGTGTTGCCTTTGTGCCTCAGTTTGTCATCAAGTATAAAAGACAGAAAAGCAAAAGAGGTGAGGGAGAAAGTGATGAAGCGTCGAGCAAGACCCCAGGGAGTATAAATAACTGGCGCCTTTGTAAAAAGCAGATCATACATGAATCCTAGTTCAATCTCGATCACTTTGAAAGCATTTTTATCTGTCAATTTCTTGAACAAATCTTGGCTTCTCGTTCGGTCATGAAAGCTAAGGATTAGATCTGCAAACAAACTCTTGAATGTCTGAAATAGATCATGAGCTTTGACCATATCATCAGTAGTTGTTTCAGGCACAATTTCATCCAAGTTACCCTGGCCCTCCTTCGTTTCTATTATGTCCACAAAGAAACCCTCCTCATCTCTCGATTCATATTCTTCCATAAACCTTGAATAGTTTGGGCCAGGATCCGGATCAGTGAGGATAGTATTTTGGAGTTTGTTCCAGCTTGCTTTCCAAAGGCTAAATGTTCTCTCCCCATACTTGATGCAGCCTACCACTATCACTGCAATGGATAGGTAAGAAATATGAGAACTTGTCCAGGCAAGCAAGATGATGTAAAGTGCAGTAATTGTCTGGACTATTAGTCCGGCGAGGTGCCTGAGGAACAACTCATTATCTTCTAAGGAGTAGGCAGTGATTGTATCAGGACCACCTAAATGCAGCAGGAAAAAGGGTGCCCAGAATGCTTTGAGCTTAGTACCCTCATTAATATAAGCTTTAGTACCCACATTCATATGACCCTTATCGTCATATATCAAAGCATTAGTACCCAAATTATTATGACCTTCACCATGGTATATCTGCCCGAGATCATTTGATAGTATACCGAGGGCTATAGTCGCTACAGAGTCAGCCATCATATAGGCAAACCAAACAATAATTCTAAACCAAGTTCCACGAATGTACTTCCTGCGGTTGCCCGTTGTAATGAGAACGATTTGGAGTGTGAGGCTGAGCACAGCTGCCCCTACGAGCTCCCATTCTTTCCAAAATTTCCTAACAGGAGAAGGAACCATCTCTACCATCATTCTCTTCTTCATCAAAATCAGGCCAGAAATCACTGAATAAAAATGAAAAAAATATATTAGACTTGGTTATAAGATTCTTCGAAAACAACTGGCTTCGGCAAGGAAGAAGAAAAACCAACGGAAAACGAAAAATAAAACTAAATTAAAGCAACCAATCCATCAAAAGACATGGTACTTACTTATAGGAATCATCAGGAATGTTTTGTTCTCGACAATGGCAGATGCAATTACTCTTGACCTGTGAGAAATGGCAGCTGGTACTCTACTACCTAGTAATGCCTGTCATAATTGTCGAAGTACGTATTATCTTGTAACTCTGAAAGACCAAGAGTCCCACATCGGAAAAAAATTTATCAATAGTAGTTTAAATATGTGAATATTCATGTGGTGTTCTGTTTCGGTTTTTTGGTCATAATATGAGGGTAATGCATTAACTTAGTTTTGTAGTTATAATATGTAATTTCAATAAAATATTATTAAAAAAAAAAACTCAAAACAGCCTATTTCTTGCTTGAAAGTTAAGATATTTTACTCTTTTTTAATAAATTTTTATAAAATAAAATAATTTTAAAATAATTTTATCTAATTTTTTTACATGTACACCTAATAAACATTTTTTCTAAATATTTTTTTATTAACTACCACAGGATAAATTAGTCTTTAAAAACCTTAATTATATAATAAGGGTGTGGGACCGACAAATTAATAAATGTCTCTATTAATTGAATAGGGGTGTAGGACCTACAATTATAGAATAAAGAAAATTTCAATCTATAAATCTATAAATAATAGCAAAAAGTATATAAAAAGCATTAAAAAAATTAACTCCCTTTGTATCAAAACAATTATTATTTAAAAAAAAATTTGTATTTATCTATATTATATTTAAAAAATAAAAAATTTTTATGATAGAATAATAATTATATTTAAAAAATAAAAAATTTTTATGATAGAATAATAATTAAAGTAAAAGAATAATAAGTGTTAAAGTAAGAGAAAATATTTTCCTTAATAATTAATTTAAAATAAAATTAAAACAAAAAAAAAATAATCGTTATTTTAAGCGAAGGGAGTAACAGCCAACGTAATTTATAGATTACATGCTAGATTATGTCTGAATTTAGTTATAATTTGTCTGTTTTTTTTATCTACTTTAAAAAATGTATATAATAATAAATTAATGACTCACTGGATTCCCAAAAAATCAAAAACTGAAATGATTCTTATCAAGTAAGTACTACAATTGAGTGAAGAATGCGTTAGTCGATTCTCCTGCTACAGCCAGTATTGATATCACAATGTACTTAAGTCTACTTTATGCTTTTTTTGACTACTTTAATATGTTAATAATAAATTAGGGAATGAGAGATATTTAATAAAGAGATATATGAGAAACCACCATGAAATATTGAAAGATAAAAAAATTTATAATATTGCATTAGATAATAATTAATATATTTTCTAATTTAACATATTTTACTACATATTTGTCAAAAAATTTTATTTTTAAAGTTAAATTATAAGTAAAAAAATTTAAAATTACAAATTTTAATAATTAAATCAATGAGTGTTGTCAAATATATTTACAAAATATACTAATTATTTTCTTAGTATATTAAAACGTAATTAAATACATTACAACATCCTTATCAACATTAATTCTAAATATTAAGTGATAATTAGTTTGCAGTAAAAATAATAAAATGTACTCATGGTCTTAATTTTAGATGCTCTTTCTATAAAAATTTGTCCTTATTTTTAAAATTGAAAAGATTGAATTTGTAAGTTTAAATTTTCTTTCATATTTACCATTCAAACTTTTTCTTGATGAATCATTGCATTTAAAACTAATAATTATAAAAAATAATTTAATAAAATTTTAGTTAATTATTAATAAAAAATTTTCTAATTAATAGTAAACACTTATCCAAATTCAATACATATGAGGTGCACACAGTTATTTTTTTACTTTCACTCTAAATTAAAGATTTAAGCAAAATTCATATATTTATCTATATTATCTTTCACAAAAAGTTAGAAGATAAAGTAAAATTTTTTATAACAGGATAATTAATCAAAATAAATAAATAATTATAAGGTTAAAGTAGAAAAAATATTTTTTTTTAGAAAAAATATTTTTTTCTTAAAAAATAAAAAAATGATAACTAATTTAAAATAAAATCAAAATCAAATAACGACAATTATTTTAAAATAAAAAGTGTAATAAAGGACCTAAAACATTAATTAAAATCAATTGAATTATAACAAAAGGTCACTGCTCCGCGCCAAGGATATTCTTGTATTGTGTGCATAACATTCTCAAAATATCAAAGGACAATAGTTGGTACACCGTCTGATTCAATATGTTGCACAATATACTCCGGTTTAACCATTAAAATTTGTTTTTTGAAATTTTCTCACTATGAATGCAAAATTGAAAATAATAGATTCTTAATGAGTGTATTGTAGAGTGTGTTGAATTGAAAGTATATTAATCATTTTTCCAATATCAAAACATGCTAAAAATATACAATTAATTACATGAACATTAAAATGTACTATAATAGATCCTACCATTTGTTAGTGAAAAAAATAAAAGATATATAATAAATCTAAGGTGGGAGTATTGTCCTCTTGCTTTTAAGAGTTTTGAGAAAGAGAAAACTATATATTTAGCCATCATAAAATGTAAAACAAAAAATGTGTGGTATGATAGGAGAGAAATGTTACCTATGTCTTGCAACCAATCCGGTGCTCTATCTTGCTCATCATGGAGTTAGAGCTTAGAAAAATCAACTATCTAAATGAGAGTACAAGGATGGGTTTTCTTCGGACGAGAATTCGGAGGACAAAGTTGTCGGCAAGAGGAACAAAGAGGAGAAAGTAAATGGGGTTTACTGTGATTTTGTCACGAAGAAGCTGCTTCCCTAAACAAAATGGGTTTAACTATTAGGGCCTTGGACTTGGTTTATTTCTACACATAAGTGCATGAACATGCACTTCAACTTCTTTTTCTATACATTTGTTGGAAATCTAGGAGAGCTACATCATGTTCCTGATGGAACATTTTAGCAGTTAAAAACTTAAGTTTTTATTTTGTAAATCTCAAGTTTGAATCATGGGATGGTTAGGAAGGGGTTTGGGTAAGGGAGAATTATCCTTTATCATATACTCTATCATTCAATGTATTTTTTTTTTTTAAAAAAAAACTATCTTGTTAGGAAAGTTTACTCTTTTGATTTTGTGTGTTCATGAAGGACTCAACTCAAACACATTTCCTCTTTTTTTCTTTCCCTTTTTCACTAAGATACATGTCTCTTTTACCCTCCTTGTGAAGAAAAGAATCAATTTGGAGGGACCCTTACTAATTAAGGATACAAGTTAGAAAAGATATTCTCCAATCCCTTTAGTTACTTTAGTTTTTTTGTTCAATTAAATAGAGATATATCTCTATCTCGAAGTAACTGTTATTTTTTGTTTTTTGTTTTTCCTTCAAATTAGGGATTTGAAGACAATTTAATGAATTTATATGTTTGCCTTTGTTACCATTAAAAAAAAATAGAGACTTTTTGTAATAGGATTATTAATGAAAGTAAATAAATAATGATGGAGTTAAACTAAGAAAAAAAAATTTTATTTTAAAAAATGAAAATTAATACAGTTATTTTAAGACAAATAAGTAATAATTAATTGATAAAATTTTCATATATTTAAATAAGTATAGTTATTGTAATGTGTTATAATTATCATTTTAAAATAAGGGTAAAATAAAAATAAATATTTTAAATGATATCTTCAAAAGAAAAACTAGACAATTAGTTTTGAGTGCCTTAAATTAGAAAGTATAACATCTAAAGTTGAATGAAGGTAGTAAAAAAAATGTTAAAATAGATCTATTTTGGTCCTCAACTTTTGCAAGGAGCCCTTTATTTTGGTCCTTTAAAATTACTATTTTGGCCACTCCGTCAGCTTAATGATGACATGACACTATTTCTAGTCAAGTGTTTTATTTCATTTAATTATTAATGTTGACATGGAAAATAAAATTGTTCATGTGTAAAATCTTAAATGAAACTGCAATTTATGCTTCATTTAGTATGATTGTGATTTTGGGATTTTGGTTTTTGATTTTTATAGATTTTGCAGCTAAACAAAAACTCATTTACTTCTACACATTTTTTAAACATATTATGATGATTATTAGAGATTAAAATTAAGAACTTAAGTTTTTATCTTGGAGATCTCAAGTTTGAATCATGAGATAATTGGAAAGCGTTTGGGTAGAGGAGGATCACCTTTGTTATATAGCTTATCATCCAATATACCAAAAAAAAAAAAAAACTACATCATTAGGAAGGTTTCATCTTTTGATTCTGTGTGTTCATGAAGGGCTCAACTCAAATACATTTCTTCTTTTTTCTTTCCCTTTTTCACTAAGAGATAAGTCTCTTTTACTCTCTCCTTGTGAAGAAAAGCATCGATTTGGATAGACCCTTACTAAACAAAAACGTTTTTATTTTTACACATTTTTTTAACATATTATGATGATTATTAGAGAATAAGAAGAAAATTAAAAACTTAAGTCTCTATATTGAACATCTCAAGTTCAAATCATAGGATGATCGGGATGGGATCAGAAAGGGGTTTGGGTAGGAGAGGGTTATCTTTTGTTGTATAACATATCATCTAATATACATAAAAAAAAAAAATCGACATCGTTAGGAAAGTTTCCTCTCTTGATTCTGTGTTCATGAATCAACTCAAACATACATTTCTTCTCTTTTCTTTCCCTTTTTCACTAAGAGATAAGTCTCTTTTACACTCTTCTTGTGAAAGAAAACCATCAATTTAGACAGACCCTTACTAATTAGGGATACATCAATTTCAAGTTAGAAAAGATACTCCTCAACCGACTTTAGTTACCTTAGTTTTTTATTCAATAAATTAGAGATATACTTTCTTTGTTTTAATAGTTGCTTTTTGTTTCTTTTCTTTAAATTAGGGATTTGAAGATAATTTATATATTCTTTTATTACTCTTAAAAAAATAGAGATTTTTGTGATAGGATGATTATATTAATTAAAGCAAATAAATAATGATAGGGTTAAACTAAGAAAAAAATTATTTTTTTTACCTTAAAAAATGAAAAAGTGACAATTAATACATTTATTTTAAGATAGAAAGAGTAATAATTAATTGATAAAATTTCATATATTTATCCCTCATTAACCCCTACATAAATAAGTATACTTATTGTAATATGTGTTATAATCAATGTTTTAAAAACCGGACCGGACCGGCCGGTTGAACCGGTCGGACCGGTACC